ACTTCGTGTTTGCATAGCATATATTGCGGCGACATACAGTAGTGGCCAGAAATTTATGAACAAACGGTTTTTTCATGATTTCTCTTTTGAAAGTCACTGGAACGTCTCCAAATTTGCAACAATTATTAACTACGTGTTTTATGATCCACACAGAAAATTTCAACCTTCAGCTCAAATTTGGGTTTAGAAAATTTTAGATTTTTCGAAATTAATGAAGGCAGGTGAAAGATCACTTGATCCGTTTATTTGATTTAAATAATGTATAACCCAACAGAACAGTCAAGTAAACAGTCACTAACATTAAGCAAGTCTAGCACATTGCCCAGAACTCTCTAAAGTATTGGATACATAAACTGGATTTGAATGCGGGGTCAATTAATGAACTCACTCTCTAGTGGGGTCTCTCTCTGTAGTCCCGTCTTTTCGTGGCTCTTTCATTGACATACGAATTTCGTAGGTCCTCCCCTAGTGGTTCTGTGATGTTTCGGTCAAGAGTCTGGCCTGGCTCTGATCTTTTAAAAGCACCCCATGCTGTCGAAACCACTCCTGCATGTGAGAGGTCCTGATGCTTTGAGTCGCTGCTCTGCCGACAGGCAAAGTCAGGTCGGGCGGCAGCCACGCCTAAGGATACATGACACCTTCCAAAACATGACAGCAAACGTCTGCCTTCATCGCTACCTCAGTCGTGTAGCGTGGTCCCACTTTTTTCCAAGGCAACCTTATCAAGCCTCCGCCAAGTTTCACAATTGGCAGCTGATTCTTTGGATCGAAACGTTCCCTCTCGTGGTGCCGTATATTACTAGTATCCTTGCTGTTATGCATCAGTAATATGTTTTTGTCATTCCAGATGACCTTAGAAACCCGTATCAACCTTCGTTTTCAGGCTTGGTCAATCACCCTAGTTCCACTCACTTCACAGCGAGCGCTCTTCTTAGACTTTGAGAACTGAGGAAAACGTAGTATATAACTTAGATTCTAGAAGATGTTATGTATCCGTAGGACATGGCTGCCACACGACCTGGCTTTGTCTGTCAGCAGAGCAGCGACTCAAAGCATCGGGCCTCTCACATGCAGGAGTGGTTTCGACAGCATGGGTGCTTTTAAAAGACCAGCCAGGCCAGACTCTTGAGCCAAACATTACAGAACCACTAGGGGAGGACCAAATTCGTATGTCAATGAAAGAGCCACGAAAAGACGGGACTACAGAGAGAGACCCCACTAGAGAGTGAGTTCATTAGTTGACCCCGCATTCAAATCCAGTTTATGTATCCAATACTTTAGAGAGTTCTGGGCAATGTGCTAGACTTGCTTAATGTTAGTGACTGTTTACTTGACTGTTCTGTTGGGTTATACATTATTTAAATCAAATAAACGGATCAAGTGATCTTTCACCTGCCTTCATTAATTTCGAAAAATCTAAAATTTTCTAAACCCAAATTTGAGCTGAAGGTTGAAATTTTCTGTGTGGATCATAAAACACGTAGTTAATAATTGTTGCAAATTTTGGAGACGTTCCAGTGACTTTCAAAAGAGAAATCATGAAAAAAG